AATATAATATTTTGACTAGTCAACATTTTATTATAATAATAAAATTGGATCTTTACTGGTGTAATCGTCAATGTGTTAAAAGTAAATTTACTTCTCCATAAGGTAGGCTCGAGGAGGAAGGATGGAGAGAGGGAGAGAAGGGAGGTAGGAAGGAAAGAAGGAAGGGAGAAAGGAAGAAAGTTACTGTTCATTGAATGTATAATACACGTCAGTGTCTCTTCTAGGTGTTTTACACACGTATCTAATGGAATCTTCACAACAATCCTAAAATCTGATAGCCCCATTTTTCAGATAAGTTAACTGAAGCCCAGGAGGACTGAGCAATTTGCCAGGGTCCCACAGTCCCTAAACAGTAGTGCCGGCTCTATCTGACCTGGCGAGATAGTGGGAGGGAAAGAGCCTATCCCGTTATCTTTCCCAGGGGAAAAAATGCTCCCTTGAGGTTCTTTTTCATGGTGACTCAAGCTGAGATCTGGGACGGGCTCAGGATAGTTGTAAAATTCCCAAAGGCAGGGGCCAAGGCTCATGGAATGGTATGGAATGCACAGTAGATGTCCAATAAACAATTGCAGATTTTTTTTTTTTTTTCTCACTGAACATGATATTTTTGGAGGGGCCTTTGTCTCCTGGCTGGAGCCAGACTAAGCAGGAGTCACCCCCAAGAACTCTGCTGTAGGATAGCACAGCTTGGTGACATTTGGAAGTTGGGGTCTTCGATTAAAGTTTTAGATTGAAAAAAGCTTGAATTGTCCAAGGGAGGGTGGGAAACACTTCTAGCTCCAGCCTAAATAGTTTTCTGAGCAAGGCTTGCCAAGATTCGTTTTGTCTACAGATGCTCATAGGATAAACAGAGGAAAAAGACGTGGGGAAGAGAGGCGTGTAGGTAATAGAACATGACAAGTGCTGTGTGTTCGAGGCATTCTGAAAGGTTATGGGAGAATCAGGAGTGAGCAGTTAACCCTTTGAGGCACAGGGCACAGTGCGAGGCTTTCTAGAGGAGATGGCATTTGAGCCAGGCCTCTGAGGACACATCAGACTTCACTGGACAGAGAAGAGGGAACAGCTTCCCAGAGCGAAGGAACAGCAGGAGTGAGGTGCACAGGTGGGACGGTCCATGGCGCATTCAGAGAACGGCGAGGGGTTTGTAGCTGGCGTGAAAGAGCATGTTGGAAGCTGATTGGAGAGAAGGCAGGAATGGCAGGTTGGTACCAGCTGGATAAGGCTCATTTGCCCTTCTGGAGGGTTTAGTCTTCAGCCACCGTCAGGTTGGTGGTCCCAAGGAGCCCCCTGGAGATGGTGTGCACCTTACAAACCAGCTGCTGCTTCTCACTTGGCCACTTGTTAACTCCGGGGCTTCTCTAAGGAGGTCTGGCCCCTTCTGGCCGCAACCTCCTCATCTGTAACATGCAGGGGTTGGACTGGACCCGTGCTTCTCAACACCTCCTGCACTCAGGAGCTTTGAAAAAATGACCAATGCCCAGACCCCCAGAAATTCTGATTTTATTTGTTGGTCTGGGATAGGGCTGGGGTGTCAGTGTTTTTCAGATTCCCTAGGTGATTCTGATGGGCACCCAGAGCTCAGAAGCATTGGGTTGGAGATTCTGTAAGGGCCCCTCCAGTTTTAAAATCTTCGATTCTTGCATAACCCATAACTTGAAAAGCAACTCAAAACATGTGCATCGAGGTTGCTCTCTATCTTTTCTACTGTCTTTGTATATGAAGGCCTGTGTAAATTATTTGTACTCGGCCTCATTCACGAGGACACGGAGACCACGTTCCTTCCTGTGCTGCATGGGACGGACGGTTGTTGCGTCAATGCCCTGAGTGTTGGAGACTCATTGTGTGAACAAACCCAAAAAGCGGAGCCCTAGCGCAGAATATTGGGTGGAGCCCTGTGTAAACGAAACTTGAGCCACTTAGCTCTCGATCCCATAAGAAGGAGAACCTAGACTTGTTCCAAGCCAGACATCAGGTGGGCGCTTCTGAAGGATCAGCTTCAGTCTCACAAATAAGCATGAAAGGGAGAAAGAGCTCTCTGCCTTGAGAATCGTTCAGGAAGAACAATGCTGAATGGCCCTGTCCACTGGGGAAGGCAAGAGAGAGCAGACATTGTACAGCCCCCAACTCTGGTCAATTAATCCCTTCATTACCAACCACCTGGTAAATGACGAGTCCCTCTAATTATCTTGCATTGACCCAACAGCTGTCTACCAGCCAAAGAGGGATTAATTGATTTAGTTGTGGACAGGCTCCTTAATGCAAAGATATTACTTACTGTCAGCCTAGCAGAACGGCAGCTGGCTGGCAAAGGTGAAATATTACATCAGCTTTGATCTTACATACAGCACTTGGAAGAATGCTTCATTATTAATTGCAAGTTACAATAGATGAGCAGAGTCCATTGCAAAACCTGGGGACAATGGGCCGCCTTTTCCACTGTGGCCGGTGGCTTCATTATTCTTGAACCAGGGAAGGTGCCCTGGTCGGATTTCCAGTCAAGCCTGGACAGATGGCGAATCTAGAGTCGGACGCAGTTCGGGTTGAAAGAGGTGATTGGATGCTGGAAGGAAGGGCGGGATCCCAGCCCAGGTGTATGACGTGGGGCAATTACTTAACCTCTCGAAGCCTCAATTTCCTTATCTGTAAAATAGGAGCATGACACCAGTCTTGCAGGTTTGTGAGATTTAAAATCGTGTATGAAAAGCACCTAGGATGGTGCCCAGGGCAGAGTTGGTGATAGTCAGTAGCCATCAGTGATCTGGGTTGAGTTAGGTCACCTGGGACTTCTCTTAGGGGGTCTGGGACCATGCTTGGTCCCTGTCCTGCAGGCTCAGACATTTGGCAGATGTGCACTTGGAATAATAATAATAAGATTATTTTGTTGAATAATAATAAAATAGATGATTTCCTCTTGCCTGGAAGCTACTAGCTAGCTATTCATCACGAGCACTACCTAAAAATTTTGATTTATGTTATGTGTCTAGTAGACTCAGTTATAGGGAAGCTTGCTGTGCTGATTTTTAAGGCCATGAGTGCCTGTGTGTGTGTGTGTGTGTGTGTGTGTGTGCGCGTTTGTGTGTGTGTGTGTGTGTGTGTGTGTGTGTACACTGAACCCACATCCTGGAAAATGGGCAGATTCAGCTGTTAAGTTTTAAAGGTCTCCTGTGATTGTGTCTGTCGTACCCACAGCACGTAGCTAAGTGCCTCATTAAGAGTTGTTAAATAAGACCATCTCTGGGCCGTGTTAATGCGAGGCCATTGATTTCATCGATTGGTCCACATTTCATTCAGGTTGTTTTTATAGGCAGTTGTTCTGTTTCTGGAAGCCTAACTTGACCCAGTGTATTCAAATCTGGATAGCTCGATGCTCTAATGGGGTTTTTCTGTGTCAGGCTGTGTGGATATAATCTGGCATATTTCAATGAGAGGAGGGCATTCAAGTGACAAAACAACCTCAGCAATTTCCAAGTGGTAACACAGCTGTAAAATCTGCCACTTTTGGAAAGTTATTTCCTAAATTACCCTCAATTATAAGAGGTCTCTACATAATTTGATTTTTCTGTAAATTATACAACTTAGGGAGCTTCTCAGCCAACTGGATTTTAACCTTGTTGGAATGGATAGAGCTGAGACAAAGCCCTGGCTTGCTCTCAAATTCTCTGTAGGAAAGACGGGGTTGGGGGATGGGGTGGGGTGGGCATCAGCTTCCCCCCATCGGGCCACCCTCTTGACCTGCAGGTCTGGTGGGGAGCAGGGTTTCCACCCTGCCTCCACCACGAATTACTGTGAACTCGGGGGCCAACAGCTGAACCTTTTCAAACCCTTCAGACCTTGTTTATAAAGTAGGAATAAAGTACTAACTGTTCAGTTATTAAGGATTAAATTAGAGTATATATAGCAAGTTCCGGGCATGTGGCAAGCTGCTCAGTCGATGCTGTTTTTTTCAATTCATATTAGCTCAGATGAAAACTCCTCCAGGAAGCTCCCCCTGATTCCCCCCCACCCCCCTTCAAACTCAGGTTAAATGTCCTTCGAGAATGGTGCTGCCTACTCACAATGTAGTGTGACTTGTATATGTTATTCGAAATTTTCCAGCGGCTACATTTTAAAAAGTAGAACAAAAACCAGGTGAAATTAATTTTAATAATATACTTTATTTAACCCAGTATAACCAAAGTATGATCATTGCTACATGTAATCAATAAAAATATTAAGATATTTTACACTCTTGTTTTTGTACTGAGTCTTTGAAGCCCTGTGTATTTGACACAGCACATCTCACTTTGGGCTGGTCATATGTCCCATGCTCAATGGCCACAGGTGGCTGGTGACAGTCATACTGGACAGTGCAAGTCTATCCTCACCCCCATGCCCATGTTCCCCTCATTCGTGACACTTACCTTATGTGTTTGAGATGATCTAAGTAGGCTTTGAGCCTCTTGAGGACAAGGTCTGCGTCATTCATCTTGGTACCCTGTGGCTACTCCATCCAGCCACAGAAAAGGAGCTCAGTAGGTGCTTGGCACTGAGCGAATCGCCTGTCCCTGGGCCTTGAGCAAGCCCGGTGTGTGGAGATCATGCTGAGGAGGCGACCAGGGCTTCGTGCCCCCAGAGACACCGAGGCAGCCAACCATCAAGGCGGGAGGCTTGCTGGGGCTGAGTAAGTCCTTGGTCTGAAGAGGACGTCTCCACTCCAGGCTGAGGCCTGACGTTTCTCCTAAAAAACATCCTTCCAAAAGTCCAAGTGCAAGGACCATGGAAGGGCTGACACTTAGAAAGACACTGGTCATTTACACCTCAAGTTAGGTTTTGTTTGTTAGTTTTTCAGAGAGAGGTTTAATGCTGTGTGCATTCACACACCAAAGCTGTTTTCACAAACGTAGAAAAGTCTAACTGTGTATTTCCTCGAGGTCCATCCCAAGAGCATGGGCTGTTTCAGATGTGGATGGAAGTAGGCAGCACCACCAGATTCCAGAGGCGTCTGAGGGGCGTCGGTTTCATTAATTGTCCTTCTTAAATTTGCCATTGTTGTAGGGTACCCAGTCCAGAATCAGCTGCCAGCCGGTGGCCCACACCAGTCCCACGGCGCCTGTGGCGCCCCGCACGCCCACCGTGGGAATCCAGTTTTTGGCCAGCTCGCGGTAGCGACGGCCCAGGAACCTGCTCAGCGTTACAGTGCTGTCCTAACTTCTCAGCTTCGGTTTTATAAGATTCTGTCTTGAGACTGGCGTGTGACAGTGTGGGGAGCGTGGAGAGAACAGGTACAGGGAACTGGATGCTTGAAAGAACTGGAGAAAGTGAGTCACAGACTCAGAAGGAATGGGGGGAGGGGCGGGGAGGGGACTGCTTAATCCAGACCTCGCCCTTCCTCAGTACACAGCCCACATTCAGCCCTGTTTCCTTTTCCCTCCCCTCCTCCCTGCTTCCCTCCTTCTTCCAGAGCAGGTGGCACAAGTAGGAACCCAGTAAAAATGCATTGAATGGAATGGGACTGAACTTCCTGGATGCCATCTTTCCTTCCCCCCCTTATTATATACCTACCGTTTTCATTTCCTACGGCTGCCGTTAACAGAGGACCACAAACTGGGCGGCTTAAACCACGAAAATGTATCGTTTCCCATTTCTGGAAGCTGCGGGTCCGAGATCAAGGTGTTGGCAGGGTTGGTTCCTTCTGAGAGCCCGAGGAAGAATCTGTTATATGCCCCATTTCTAGCTTCTGGCAGCTTTTGCTGCTGTTCTTTGGCTTTCTTTGCTCGTAGAGGCATCACCCCAGTCTGCCTTTGTTTTCATATGACGTTCTCCCTGTGTGTGTGTGTGTGTGTGTGTGTGTGTGTGTGTGTGTGTCTGTGTCCAAATCTCTCTGTTTTATAAGGACTCCAGACGCAGTGGATGAGGGCCCACCTGCTCTAATAGGAGTTCATCTTAACTAATTACATCTATAGTGACCCTCTTTCCAAATAAGGTCACCTTCTGAGGTACCGGGGCTAGGATTTCAACATATGGATTGGGCGGGGGAGGGGTGGCGCAGTGCAACCAGTGACACCTGCCGTGTGTATAGCGCTGTGCTAGATGCTGGGGCACTTAAGACAAGGAAGTCCTTGACCTCTGTTAGTTCATACTCTAGTGGGCAACTCAGGCCAGTAAACTGTCCATCACAAAACAAAGCTTTATTTGAGTTTGGTATTCGGTGCTGGAGGAGTGTAGATGGACCAGGAAGTTAAGCGAGGCGTGCGCACGTGGGATTGTGTGCACCGTATGTGCTCCTGTGTTTGTGTAGCCTTTGTCACCCTGACTGAGCAAAGACACAGGAGAGGTGACACACAGGGGACCATCTGGTCCTGCCCTCCCCCGCATAAACACCAGCTAAGGGGAGAGGACGTCCTGACTATCAGGGGACTGGAGCACCGTCCCTCCTGGGCGGGCACCCCATCCATGCCCCTCTGGTGATGACCGGCAGCCCAGGGATGCGTGAAAACCGGTTTGACAGTAGCTCCTGACTTCTAGAAAAGTCTGCAGCTCCAGTGTCTCCAGCTGATAGTCTGCTGTTCAGTGTCTACATGACCATGCCAGAGGACACTGCCAAGTTGGCCCTGCTCCAGCCTTGGCAGGTGCAGAGCTGCTCTGGAAGGAAGCTGGAACATGCCACAGGGGTGGGAGGCCCAGGCAGACTCCGCTGCTGCCTAAAATGGCCTGTTGCAATGTTTCCTCCCCTTTGTCTTCTGTCAGGGGTTGAAAGCCACAAAATGGCCAGCATGCAGTTCTGGCAATCATTTGGACTCTTGGAGAAACCGCTCTGCATGTCTATTCCATCTCCAGCCTGTGCCCTACAGGACATCCACAGATACGTCCACAGCTGTAACGGCATCTCGCCAGTGCAGGGCTTGGCTATGGAGAGCTCGGCCAGCCCACTGCTTGCTTGGATCCAGGCCTCACATCCTGTCCCAGTATTTGGGGAAAAGTTCTGAGAGAAAGGGGCATGTCTGAGGCCCTAACCACGGCTAGCGTGGTTAAGAGCACGGGCCTTAGAACCAGCTGGAACCCCAGAGCCACCGCCTGCCAGCTGTGACTTGGGGAAGCTTCTTACCTTCTCTGTGCCTCGGGTTTTTCACCTGCAAAATGAGGATAATACATTACTAGCATCTACCTCATAGGGTTCTTGTGAGGATTAAATTTGAATCCGCAGAATGAGGCCGACATAGGTGTTCGCTGTTTGATGTTTGCTGTTATTGTTATTCAGGGACAAAAGCCAGAAAGGAGGAAATGATCCTGGGGGGACACATGAGCCAGTTGAAATTCAGGTCATTTGGAAGGCAGGGCTCCACGTAACTGGCTCGTCTTCTGCCTGTTAAAAGGGAACTCCGTCTTCTAGAGCAGAGGGTCTCTGTCTCGGCTGCACTTCAGAATCAAAAAAGGAAATTTAAAACATCCACACATTCAACCCACTAAATCAGAATTTCTGGGGTGTCGGTACTTTTTTTTAAAGCTCCCAGTTGATTCCAGCGTGCAACCCAGTTTGAGAACCACTTGCTCTGGCTTTTTCCTACTCAAAGACAGGTCCGGGGACCACCAGCCTTGGCATCACTCAGGAGCTTGTTAGAAATGCCTTGGCTCCCACCCTAGCCTGCTGAATGGAAACCTGCATTTTAACAGGGTCCCAGGTGGTCTGCAGCAGTGTTCACTGGAGAGGGCTCCCGAGAGAACAGTCCGCTCCCTGGGGGCGTCTAGAAGAACCAGCTGTCCGTGCATTAGATGAGCAAGGACAGGTGGCACAGGGTCTGCATGGATTTCAGAGACAGAGGCCAAGAAGAGGTCCCTACCTTTCGTGGAGATGGGCACGCTGTTGCTTTCTGGAAACTTAGAAAACAGATACTATGTTTGTGCCGCCTGGGGTGCTTGTCAGGGGCAGGGAGCTTCAGTCCCATGGTGGGCCAGTTGGATGGGCAGCCTCTCGGGTCCTCTGGATGCACTGAATGTTCATAACTGGCTCAACTTGGAGGAAGAAAACGTGACTTTGAACGGGGACCCTGGAAGCGAAGGCCACTGTGATGCCTTTAAAAGGCCTCATTCTTTCTGGGTGCTGAGTTCCTGGGGTGAAGGGGAGCTGAGTGAGGAGCTGAGCTGGGCTGCCTTGGTGGCCGCAGTCTGAGTTGGTTCTCCTCGCGGTTTGGGCTGTTCCTGACCTCACTTTGTCAGGAAACAGGAAGGAGGCACCCAAGGTAGACCCTCCATGCTCCCCCACCCCACTTCAGCCTTTACCTCCAAATGACATTTTTAGGTGTCACCCTCTCCTGTCCCCCCACCCCAATCCCATCCCCCCACTGCCTCTAAATGCCAGGCGCAGCAGATCTCAAGCAATGAAGTTTAACGGGAAGAGAAGGGAATTCAGAGCCTGAAGTCCTAAGTTTAAATTTCTGCCTCTTTCTGCTTGATCTTGGTCAAGTATCTCAGAGTGGAAAATAATTTATTTAATTTTAGCTGAAGAGGCCACATAGTATAGCAGTTAAAACTGGGGTTCTTGGAATCAGGCTTCCTGGGTTCAAATCCATACTTGCTGGCAGAGTAACCTTGGGTCATTTACCTAATCGCTGGGTACCTCAGTTTCTTTATCTGTAAAATGGGGAGAACAGCAGTTCCCACCTCTTTGGCTTGTTATGAAGATTTAATGAGTTGAGTGCCTAGAACAGTAGCTGGAGGCACAGAGTCAAGTATGTTAGTAAATGTTCTTTTTTTACCTTTACATTTGCAGATTTAAAACTTCCCACTGTTCTTTTCAAAAAAAAAAAATTGTAATCACAGTTTGGGTTCCAGTAACTGACTTTTAAGAGGAGCTTCTCTTGCCCAGTGACGTTTATAGTTCCTCACATTCAAACACCCTGTTGTTGCTTTTCAAATGCAGCAGTCCCCATTTTACAGGTGGGGAAACTGAGGCACAGAGAGGCCTATTGACTTTTAGAGTAACACGTGCAGGGTCATCCGATCCAGTCAAGGAGTTGCAGAGCCACAATTCAGCCTGTTGTTCTTGGGACCAGGCCACCTCTGCCAGCTCAGCTGGCGTAGAGATTCGTTGACTACATGGGTGACCCAAACGCATTTGATTCTCAATTCATTGGTCCTTAAAGTAGTGATGGAACCCCCCCCTCCCCGTGAGAACTTGTAAATAGGCTGGCTCCTGCCTGCCTTTGGTAGGTGGTGACCACGGCGCTCCAGGCACACCTGGGTGAAGGATGCTGCTTGGTCCTGGGGCCCCTTCTATCCCAGCGGGCAGGATGCGGCGAAGGGGAGCAAGGATGATGGGGCACCCTGTGCCGGCCACTTCTCTCCTGGCTTCTCAGTTTCTCCCAGAAACTCGCTCACCCCTCATGAGTCAGACAGAGCATCTTTAAACCAGGAACAAGATTGCTCAGGCCAGAGATGGTACCTGAAATAGGCAAGTTACAGGAAGTGCTTCTGAGGGTTTAAGAGTTGGAAGATTGCTTCTTTGAGTTCTCTGCCTAGGCACAGTGACCATACGTAATTGTCTCCTCCGTTCATTCTTGTCAGGAGTGGCCTGTTTGCGTTCATCCCCCCGGATCTGTGTTATGAGCCCAATGGAGACACTGTTTGGCGGTCTCTTGCCATCCTCTTGCCAGAACCCTGACCAAGAATCAATGTTCAAACAGGAATCAGGATGATTCCACGTCTCTTTCCTAATTAGCAGAAAGCACAGAGCCAGTGAAAGCAAACAGGCAGCTTGGTAAGGCCAGGGTAGGGGCTGCCCATTTGGGGAAGTGTTGGCCACACTGATTGGTATATCCACTGGGCTTCTGTTGTGTCAGTTGGATCCACAGCCTGGCACAGACCATGGCAGTAGTTGGCAGAGGGAATTATAGGCAAGGGTTAACTCATCTCCAGACCCCTTGATCGCTAAGAGTAAAGAAGTATAGCTAGACTCACACTAAGTCCCTCGTTTTTGCAGATGGAACATTCTGAGTTCGACTTTTCAAGAGCAGCCTGGAAGTCCATTAACAAGGGACACTTGTAATCTTTCAGAGGAACAAATTTGAATCAGAGGAAGCCAGTTCCTCAGCTCACCAGTGAGCCCAGCCATCCCCTCAGCACAGCAGCTTTGTAATTCTGTAATCATCATTCCCAAAGAACCTTCATTCTAGGACTGGTGGAGCCAC